ACAGAAAGTCAGGCACTGAAACAGAGGAGGCAGAAGTTCCCATGGAAACGGTGTTCCCTTCCTATGCACACAAGAACTGAAAAGATAAGTGTCCCTATCATTAAAAAAAAAAATTAACTCTTAACATTCTCATGCTACTAAGATTTTTTAAACTTTGTTAACAAAGTGAAGCATGCAAGTCCCAAGAAACAAATAATAAATTTTCACAAGATGAATGTCAGTCTGATCAGTACCCAGCTGCATCCTGTGTCTTCTAAGCACTCTCCAAATCCCTAACTAAGCCAGTCAGCCTTAAATCCCCATACAGTAATACAGAAGTGGAGCATCTACTGTGGCCTCTAGTGTCTCTTCACTAGGCAAGAAAAGAATACTGGGGATTCATCTTGTTGCTTATAGCTCTGCTATATGAAAGTATCAGTTTCCTGGTGCCCATTCCACTACTCACAGACATGTGAGCTATTGAGAGTTTGCAGTTATTATAAAGCTGTGTTCTTGAGAGTAAAACAATTAAAAAGGATCTGTGGATTTCAACATTATTGGCAAGTAGTATACAAACCACAGGTCAAGCATCTCTAAAGAATTTAAAATATTTTAAAACTATTCCAAAACTCTGTGCTTTTTGATAACATAATGCTAAGCTTCAGACCTGAAAGCATTTTGTATTTTGAATTTGGGTATTAATGATATTCAGCTAAATATAAGCAGACTCAGACAATTATTACAAACATAGAAAAAAGACCCAAAATATGAAACACTCTTGGTCCCAAGCAATTCAGATAAGGGATATTCAATTTTTTTTTTTTTTTTGTTTTTGTTTTTCAAGACAGGGTTTCCCTGTGTAGCTTTGTGCCTTTTCCTGGAACTAACTCAGTAACCCAGGCTGGCCTCGAACTCACAGAGATCCGCCTGGCTCTGCCTCCCGAGTGCTGGGATTACAGGCATGCGCCACCACCACCCGGCTAAACATGTAATTTTTTTTGAGACCAGAGGAAATCAAAGATGCATTTAGTAATATCTATGGTAGTGCTTCTCAAATGTGATATTCAGATAAAAGCTCAAGCCCACCTTACATTCGTCAGAGATGCATTTTTAATTACGATTACACTTATTCTATGTACCCCTGTACCTTGGCAATCATGTAGAGGTCAGAAGACTTTCAGGAGTTAGTTCTCTCTTTCTGTCATGTTGGTCTAGGGGACTGAACTCAGGACATCAGGCATGGCAATATCTTTACCTGATGAGCCACCTTGCCAGTCCCCTAAAATGTAAATTCTTGGGTATGAATCCACCTACACTGCATCAGAAATGGTGAGTATGCGGCCTGGTCCACTGCTACTTAAGACATCTCCTAACAGTCATGTGTGATCCACTCTTCTACAGCAGAGGCTGGTGGGTTTGCTTTTTAATCACCCACGTGGCAAATATCATAGGCCATGAAATCTATATACAAATATCCTTTGTGCAATTATGACATGAGAACAACAAAGCAGCCCACAATCTGTAAAGACTCGGGGCAGCTGTGCTTCAGTGACATGTATAAAAACGAGAGGACAACTGAGACTGGTCCACAAGCAACACTCTGCCAATCCCTGGTCCAGGGTAATGTAGACATAATTTAAGAAAAACAGAAAAAACTGATAAAAACAGTAGATTAAATAAAGTCTGAAAGGATATAAAAATTTAAAAAGATATAATAGAAAATTACTTTTGTGCTAGACATGTGAATTCTATTTCCCGTGTACTGAAGTACCAAGAACCATCTTTGTATTCTAAAATAGTCTAAGGGGTGCTATTCTTTGAAGCAATGAACTTCAAAGTTGGGCTTTCTTTTTCATTCCATTGACCATTAGATTAAGAGCAATTAGGCACTAACAGTCACTGAATACATTTGTCTTACTGACTAGTTAGAAAAGGTGAATTTTTAAGATAATTTCTTCAGGGTGGGGGGAGAAATGTGTGGTTGTAACCTGAAATTTTTTTGTTCAGTTTAAAACTACATCAAGAAGGGAACTAGAAAAATGGTTTAGCAGTAAAGAGCACAGGCTGCTCTTCCAGAGGACAGAGTTCAGGTCCCAGCACCCACATAAAGGCTTACAGCTATGTAACTCCAGTTCCACAGGGACCTGACCCCTCAACTGGCATCCTCAGGCCCTACATGCACGTGCAGGCATAACAGCCATACACAGAAAACAAAAGTGAATCTTAAAAACAAAACGAAAAACTACATTCAAGGGCTCAAGAGATGAGCCGGCAGTTAAAAGTGCTTACTGCTTTTGCACAGAACCCAAGTTTGGTTCCCAGTACTACTATCTGGCAGCCCACAACCACTCAGGGAATCCAAATCACTCTTTTGGCCTTCACTGGCAGCTGCACTGCACTCATGTGCACATGCTTACTGGATAAAATGTCTGATTTTTAAAATCTTAAAAGCAACCAATGATTGACAACAAAAAACATAAGACCATAGGGGAAAAGGAACAGATCCAACCCCGCAGGACATGCAAGCAGAAGTTAGGATACCAAATGACAAACTCTTAAGGTTAAAGGGAACCATGAGTCAACCCTTATTTTCCTATTGTCTATTTTTTTTTCCATGGGAGACCCACCCAGGGGCTGGGGGTGGCTCAGTGAGTAAAGTGCATGCCACACAAGTATAGGACCTGAAGACTAATCCCTAGGACCCACATAGAACTGGGTGGGGTAGCACATACATCTGTCACCCCAGTGCTCCTAAGGGGAGATGAGATGTGCTTTTGTGGGTCAGCTAGCCTGGCATATGCAGCAAGCAAACACCAAGAGACCTGTTCCAAACAATGTGGAAGGTGAGGACTGAAAACCAAGGTTGTTCTCTGAGCCCACTCCCACATGGACTCACTAGCAGACACACATGCACACAACACCTCTACCACCATCAGTGTCATCATTACACATAAGCAAAATGACAAGTAAATGAATAAAATTGGGGGGTGAGTGGGAGGGGAGGGGAGGGAGAGAAAAAGGAAGAGACAGAGACAGAAAAGGCAATCAAATCAAATGCTTCAGTACAGTAGATGAGCCAGACACTCAGGTCCTATGTCTGTGGGCTGTAAGAGCAAATGCAAATTTCCTAGGATCATCCCAAAGGTATCAGAGGACAAGAATAATTGAGCAGGATGAAGGAGTTATCAATCTGTCTGATGGTCAAGGTGACATGATGAAGAAGAGAAATCACGTGATAAGAAGAGGGAGAAGAGACCGAAATGGAAGAAACAAGACACCACAAGCAAGAACAAGTGTGAACAAGCACTAGTAACAGGT